CATGCGGCGTGCTGTGTGTCTGTGTGCGTGCGTGCTGTCTGTGTGTGTGTGTGTGCGTGCTGTGTGCGTGCGTGCGTGATGTTGCGTGCGTGCGTGCTGCAGTCTGCGTGCGTGCGATGCGCGCGCGTGCGTTGCGTGTGTTGCTGTGTGTGTGTGTGTGTGTGTGTGTGTGTGTGTGTGTGTTTTTCTCGGGCTGTGCGTGCGTGCATGGTGCGGTATTTAACCAGCTCTTAGAGTGTGAATGCTCTCCCTCACTCGTTCTTCGTTATAGATTGACGACATGATGAACGAGGTGAAATACAGCGACTACGTAAAACGGGAGAGTACAAAACGACATCAACCTAGAAGATTTCATTCAGATGTGAGTCACAGCACTTGGAGCGTTTCATGTTCATTTCATGTTCATGTTCATGTTCATGTCATGTTCAGTTTCATGTTCATGTTCATTGTTAGATTTATTCATGTCATGTTTATGCATTTCATGTTCATGTCAGAATGTTCAGTTCATGTTCATGTTTCATGTTCATGTTCATGTTCATGTTCATGTTCATGTTCATGTGTTATATGTCATGTTCAATGTTCGATGTCATTCATGTTCATGTTCATGTTCAGTTCATGTTCATGTTCATGTTTATGTTCATGTTCATGTTCATTCATGTTTCAGTTTATATTCATGTTCATGTTCATGTTCATGTTCATGTTCATTCAGTTCATGTTCATTGTTCATGTCATTCATGTTTATGTTCATGTTATGTCATGTTCATGTTCATGTTCCTTTCAGTTAGTTCATGTTCATGTTCATGTTCATGTTCATGCTTATGTTCATGTTCATTTTCATGTTCATGTTCATGTTCATGTTCATTTCATGTTCATGCATGTCGTTCATGTTCATGTTCATGTTCATGTTTATATTCATGTTCATGTTCATGTTTATGTCATGTTCATGTTCATGTTCATGTTCATGTTCATGTTCATGTTTATGTCATGTTCATGTTCATGTTCATGTTCATGTTCATTTCATGTTTTATATTCATGTTCATGTTCATGTTATTTCATGTTCATTTCATATATATATGTGTCACAGTGTCAGTGCTGCAGCTCACGTGCGTGCGGTGTACATGTGTGTTGCAGAGGAGCACTTATATTACAGAGGCTTAGCACAGCATTTACAGAAATTTTGCAATAATAGGCGAAAGAAGTAGAGAAACATTAAACTTTGGTAGGAAATAGATTTCGTATTTATTTAGCATATAGTTATGAAACGCTCAAGTGCCTGTGGTTAAAATGAACCCTTCGTTGTCACCTCGTTATTTACCATCTACCTCCAGTTAAAAACCAATGCTGGTATGCACCCCCCCTCCCCGACCTTGCTCCAAGAATCATGCATAAAAAAAACATGTATTGTTGGTGTTGGGGCTATATAAAGGTCGTGTATTGATCGTGTAGTCTCGCAGTTGGTGCGCTACCCCTGACCTGCTACGTTCGCTTCGTGACAAGCCTTGGGAGCGTATCTTATTCTGTTTAACGAGGCTGATAGTATTTGGAGAACATGAATAGAGTCTCTATTCATGTTATCCTTGATTGTGAATCACAGCGTATTATGCGTGATGAGTGGGGGATGGTTTATCAAAGCATAACGAGCAAAGCATCCGTCAGTAAGGTGGGAAAATATATTTTAAATTTGTTATGTGTCTGCAGCAAGACGCGCCGTGCGCGCACGCACGCACGCAACGCACGCATGCACGCACGCACGCACGACACACACACACACACACACACACACACACACAACACACATGTGGACCACGCACACACGCACGCACACACACACACACCACTTCGCACGCACGCACGCAACCGAACGCCACGCACCACACGTACACACGCACGCACACGCACACGCACACACCCACACACACATACACACCATGCACGCACGCACCACACGCACGCATCGAACACGCACGCACTCACACACGCACGCGCCACGCACGCACGCACGCCACGCACGCCGAACACACACACACGCACACACTAGACTTCAATGATGCTGCTGCAGTAATGCTGCTCTCTAACCCGCCCGTCTCTCTCTTCTCTGCTCTCGCTGTCTCATGTGTTCGTCAACCACCGCGCCCGCCGCAGCACCACCAGCAGATATCCTCGACGCGTTCTGCACACTAGTGCAGCACGGAGCTGGCGCGCGGAACCTGCTCGAGCAGCTGCAGACTCGAGTAAGCAGCAGCGACGACGCCGCGTCGCCGCGCGACTCGTCCGTCGATCGTAGCACGTTGTTGTTGTTTTGTTGTTATTGTGTTGTTGTTGTTGTTGTTTGTTATTATTTATTATTATCATTCATTATCATCGTTATTATTGTAAATTATTATTATTATTATTATTATGATTTATCATCATTATCATTGTTATTATTATAATAATAATAATTTTATTATTTATTATAAAAAATAAAAATTATTATTATTGTTATTATTATAATTATTATTATTGTCTAATGTATCCGGCTACGTGCTAATTACTGTATACGCATATTTTCGATGTACAGATACTTCGCGATGGTTAATGTCCGCGTCCGTGAATTACGAATTATTCGTATTATTCCGTATGATTATTCGCGTGTTTTATTTTCCGTGCGGGCCGCGTTTGCGAAATTCGCGAAATTAAACCACGCAAAATATTCAGCGTATACAGTATACACCGCGCGGCGAATCCAACGTGAGCGTGATAGCCTACATGGATCCAGTGGAACTAGTGGGATTATTGTATACTAATGTCGAGAATGTGTTAAGCTTGGTACGAAGCTTTTTAGAATGGCTGTAAACCGATGAAAACCGGTGCGGAAGTTAGTGTAAAACCTGGGTGCCCCCATGGGACCCACTCGGTTAATGCAGCGCTTCACACAGTGCCGATTAGCTCCCGTCAGACAGCGCTACCACACAAAAAGTAAAAAGTCGGATTACTATCCTCAATATCTGAATGCCTATCATTGTCTGAACGCACTCGTATACGTTCGTAATAGAGTCCTACGGATCGGAAATGGTCCGGAGAGGTCGGCCAAAGCTACTCCACGACAGTTTAGTGCGTCCCGTAACATTCGGAAACTCAGCCGATTTTGTCTAGTCGGATTACAATCGTACTAATGTCGTGACAGATCTGCTGTAATCGATCAAAATCGTAAACAATTTCCTGTTTGTCTGGCGTGTCTGACGTGTCCGTGTGATCGGACGCTGGTAATGAACGGGCATGATCTGGAGAAATTTTTTATTGCCGTTTCTTGCCGATTGAGTCCAGATTGCGTCCAGATCTAACGGATGTTCCGTCAGCGTTGGTTCACTGTCGGTCACTGTCTGATCTCTGTCGATCGCAATTCGGAGAATCGTGGCGCTTCGGACAGATTTAATTGTCGTTTTTTACCATGCGTAAGATACAAATCGATCAGAATCGATTGAGAATCTGAGAACGGTACGAATTCGGCTAGAAACGGCTGAATACGGACGATTCCTGAACAATATCTGATGTTGTCGCGGATTAAATAAATGTTTTTACAAATTTTTAATAAAGTTTAAAATTCCCACCACGAATCACAGGATCTTGATCAGACTTTTAACAAATTTTAATCGGGAATGGTCCTATCAAGGACGGCAGTAAAAATCCTGAATGTGTGACTGGGTCTTAAAGCTGGTGGGAAGTTGCTGTAAAGCGAATTTGAGCTTGACCTCACATTGTGCCTCATGCCTCACAAGCCTGCCTCACATTGAGCCTAATCGGCATCACAGCCTGCCCTCCAGTGTCTCATGCTCACAGCCTCGCTCACATTGTGCCTCATGCCTCACAGCCGCCTCACATTGTGCCTCATGCCCTCACAGCCTGCCTCACATTGAGCCTCATCGTGCATCACAACCTGCCTCACATTGTGCCTCATGCCTCACAGCCTGCCTCATATTGCACATATTGCGTCCTTTGATGTCTCCCCCTCTAACGCGAGCGTGGCTGTCTCGCTCCACATGCAGCCAGATACTTAGCGATCGCAGAGCTAATTAAAGAAGCACGCAATATGTTTCATATCGTTATCGGCGGAGGTGCTTATTAGAGTAATAGAACCATCGCGAAATTTGCACTGTGCGCATGAAGAGAAAAAAGGAGATGCAAATGTCGTTAATACACCCACATTTTTTTTTGTTCGACAAAAATCGCTGCGATAATTAAAGCTTACGGTGAAACTAATTAATTTAAAGTAAACGAATAAAAGTGGCTTTGCCATGCGGTAATGTAGTTCTTATTACCACGAAATATTGTCGGGTTTCTCAGGCTATTTCTGCGAAGGTTGTCTACTAAATTCTCGTTAAATTAAACAATTTGGCAACTGCGTCTTCTGCATACCTAGCCTGGCACAGCGGCCCCGATACGCACACCTACGATACCCGAGTGCTTTGCCTGAAATCGCTACACACGTTGCAGCCCTCATCTCTCTCTCTCTCTCACACTTGTCTTCGCAGGAGCACATGTCAGAGCTTGAGCTTCTGGACGCCCTGGCTGCACTGACGGGTCAGTCGTACACGGACGAGATCGCATCTGATGACGAGGACGCCGCCGCCGCTGCTGCCGCGGCCACCTCCTCCTCATCCTCGCAATGGATAGAGACTGCCTCCCTGAGGTTATCACGCCTCAGGTGTCACTGACGAACTGCTCGGCTTTGGATTCTAGTAACGAAGCGCTTTATTTGCGGCCTGTCTCCGGCTTTGGTTGTTGTATGACATATGTACTATATATATATATATATATATATATGTGTGTGTGCGTGTATGCGTGCGTGCGTGTGTGCGTTTGTGAATACCCTAGGCAATATCGTGGAAATGCAGCAAGCAAAACTAGTAACTAAATTTAAATGTAATTAAATCAATAACATGAGTGATTTATATCATTTTTCTAAATCCTTTCCGAACGAAATCTTTAGTTTAATAATCGTTGCAATAGACTTTGTATCGGTACAATCATTGCCTTCTAATGTTTAAATTCTCAGGTGGTAGATATATGCTGCAGCCACGATGGTAAATACATGTTCACAGGTGGCGCCACCGATGCCACTGTCTTCATGTGGGAGATGAACTTTGAGTAAGTTTAATAGTATCTCAGCTGTAATTTTTTAAATAGTTTAATAGTTCTTTGTGGTGGCAGGGTTGTACTAACTGCGTTGAGACACAGGGAGCAGGCTGCATCATGCAGTGTGTTTCATTGTTGATATCCTGGACGATGAAACCTGACGAAAGCCCCGATGACATATTTCGTTAATGTTGTCTGTTTTTGTCTTGATCTGGCATGTTAGCGTGCCAAAAAAATGCCAGCGATAGCATACGAGACAAGAACTTTTGTGCTAAAGCCCACCAACCGTTATCAAGGATTGCAGCAAACTGCTTGGTTTCGTCCATTTTAGCTGTATTACTCAACAGTGAAGTCATGCTATGGGATCTCGGTGTTAACAGTAGTTCTGCACATCACGTGCTCCCTCGTGCTTAGTTCAATTAGTTGTGTAATTTATACTTCGGTCCTTAGGATAGGACTCCTAGGATAGGATAGGATAGGACTCCTAGGATAGGATAGGATAGGA